AGCATGACGGAAGTTCTTTTTTATTGGCCACAAATGTGCACATTGCAGATCCTAATTTGTTAGATATGATTGGCCAAAAATTTTATATACTAATGTAGTACGTACGTGCGATCTTATCGATCAAAAATTTTGTAGTTAAAAATTCGTCACGAATAGAGCTGTGTTTTGTTGAGTTCTTTGCGGTTGAGTTTATGTGTAATTGGAGATTGTTGAATGACAGTTGTAGTCGAGTTTTATTCAAGTTTTGTCGTGGTCAAGTTTTGCCGTAGCCAAGCTTCGGTGGTTAAGTTTCGCCAGGTCAAGTTTCGCCGAGTCAAGTTTCACCGGGTTGAGTCTGTTGGTTAATTTTCGCCGTGGTCGCCGTTGCTAGAGAGTTGGTCAAGTTTTTCAGGGGTCTTTACTGTTACCAAGGTCAAGTTTTATAGTAAGTTCTATTATTACTATTGTAAAAAAAATATAATTTGTACTTTTAATGACTAATCATTTTTATCAAAAAAAAAAAGCATAAAAAAAAAAATGCCAGCCAAGAATTTTGGTCCCTGTTCAATTGTTGATTGTACGAATATCAATATTAATTTTTGTACGCTTACAAAACTTGCATATGAAAAATGTTGCATGAAACGAACAATAGAATCATATCCTTACCTTGAGGTCGGGAAACAACTCTGTCACTCTCATTATTGTAAACTCGTGGAGCCAGACAGAGACCAACGGGGGCACAAGTCAAAAAATATAGATAACCAAAAAAAAAAATTTTTGAGCCAGTAGAACTCTTATCAAACGATGTAATTTATGCATTTATTTTTTAGGGTTTTTTTTTTTTTTATTAATTTTTTTTTTTTTTAATTTAAATAGATCACATTTGTTTCGAGTATAGAAATGTTAACAGAGGTACTATATCATCAACAACGTTGGGAACATGCTAGTCTAGAATTAGACCCAACAAAATTCGTAAGCATGATCGAAGCCACTAATCCCCAGCTTCAGGGTTTTTTCAACTATATGACGAATGCGATTATTCCAAAAGAACGCTTGGCTCACAATATCAATGAAGCAAAAAAATCTATTGTTGGATTATGCTATATGATAGCAGGTCTGCGTAATAAATTTGTTAATCAACACAAATTGGAAGTTGGGCTATACTTGATGGCCTCAGGTGCAACATGGGAAGCTGTTGATACGATGTCAAGTCTTGGATACTCGGCATGTGCTAAGATGGTAGATACGTATAGAAAAAAAATTAGAAATGAACATTCTGCAAAAATCATAAAATATTTTTTAGAGCATGTAATTATATAAATTTTTATTAACATTAAATAAATTTATTCTTGTATATTAAATATAATTATGTTTTTTTTTTGTTAGAATTATTTGTTTCATGTTTATAATATC